AATTGCAGAAAAGCATGTTTTTTACCTCAAAATATGGCCTCACCCTTTACACATGTGAGGAGGAGCACTTCTGTGGTGCTATATATTCTATATAATTGATTTAAAAACCAATATTGCTAAATTCATCCTCAAGAAGGTTCAATTGTTAAAATAACTTATTGTTTTATTCTAAAATATAAATAAATTGTAACCCTAACATGTTTTTCAAGAGTAATGTATCTGTAAATGCTAGGGACACAAAAATGGACGTTTCTGTAGAATGACCCATGGCTTTAAATAACAAGACTTGCTAAAAACTCTGAGCTAGTGGACAGTGCAAAGCACTGCATGGATTAAATGTGGTTAAAAAGGGGGTAAAACAACTTTAAACAGCTGGCTAGCATGTAGTTTGAACAGTGAGTATGCTAACTAGCACAATAGCTAGTTTAGTCAAAGTTTTCAGCTAATCCAGTTGAAGTTTTAGTCAATTCTTAGTGAATGTGATTTATAATTTGCTTAAAGCTCAGCTAGATTGGCTGACAAATAAATTAGCTGTTGTGCTAGCTAACAGCTAGCATACCTGCTATCAAAGCTACATGCTAGCCAAATGTTCCAGGCTGTTTCCTGTTAAAATACTGCATTTACTGCATGTAGTGCTTCATTTTGTCCCTCAGACTGAAGGTTTTCCAATTATTAAAGGCTCGTTATTTGAAGCCGTTACAAACCTGACGCAGCTGCGAGCTGCAGGAGAACAATATCCCCAGTAATGACTGCGCTTGAGCTTAGCAACACTGAGAAACAGAACGAGATTGGCAATGAACAATTCATTCAAACATTTATTTTTTATTTTTTCCCCCATGCAGAAATTTTACGAATCTGAAAGTCTTGAGTCCGAGTCGAGTTATGAGTCAGTCAACATGCAACTCGAGTGCGAATCGAGTCCCCATCTGGGTGGTAGTACAAGCACAACTGTCATTTGTGATAATTCTGTTTATTTATTTATTTATTTTTCAAAAACATTCATGAATGTTTGAATGAATGAATGAATGGCCCATTGAACAATGCCAGCAATTCAAGTTATGACAATTATGTTTTTGTTCATTTTTCCAAAAAATATGTTGTTTCGTCAGCTGGCGTAATGTTTACTTCAACCTAATGCTTTAAGCTGGCAGTGATTTACTAAGTGTTCAGTGTAGCAGACTGCACTGTTGGCCACACCATATCTCCAAAAGTATGTAGACACCTACTCATCCAAGGAATATTGTTGTGAGGATTTGATTGCATTCAGCCACAAGAACATTAGTGGGGTCAGGTACTGATGCTGGCACTTCCATCCCAAAGATACTAGATGGAGTTCCATCACTAAGGAAATGCAGTTCCACTGCTCCACAGCCCAGTGCTGGGGGGCTTTATACCCCTCTAGCTGACACTTGGCATTGGGTTTTGTGACCTTGGGCTCATGTTTGGCCACTCCAGAATGTCCCATTCATTAGCAATGCTTTTCCATGAAGATTATACAAGCTGTGCACCTTAAAGTAGCTGAATTCACTAATTATACACGCTGTCTGGATACTTTTGGACTAAGTTGTAGCTTGTAGCAAACCAGTGCTCGATAGACCAACAGACATGTCACTGCTTGGAAAAGTCTGAAGCTGAAAAAAAATGCTTTTCACTCTGGGAGGCAGAGCTAAACCGAAGCGAGCGCTGCTGAAAAGTAGGCTGTTCCTCAGATGTGCACGGCAGCGACTGGAAATTGTTACGCAAATCCGTCCGTCGCGAGCCCCCTTTGCCTTTCCGCGCTCGCGCTGCCTCCGCTGTTTAAATGGGCCAAGTTAGAGAAGCGGCGGAGAGTGCAAATCTTGTTTGGTCTGAGTCTAACTAAAGCGTGACTTTAACGGTATACACAGGGTTAAAGGAGAAGTGGGGAAAAGCGAGCGTCCCATTAGCTCCAGACGTTCTTGTTGCACGCAAATAGTTAAAATAAGGGACTGAAGGGGGACATTTGTTGTTCTTCAGCCCTGTCAAAAAGTAAGAACTTTTTTAAAGAATTGTCAGAATATATATTTTTTGAACCCTCTTCATTGTGTTGGCTGCGTTACATGGCACGAATATTAGTCTAGGCTATGAACAGACAGCAGCCTTAGCCTCTAAAGTTGAGTGGCTCTGTGCTGATAAGCGCCGTGTCGACTAGAGTGGGCGAGTTGTAGCTTTGAATGAAAGTTGCCAGTTCTCGCTCGGAGGAGACGCCGGCTGAGTGAGCGCAGCAGCGGGAGCCGTCGCGGGGATCCAATGAGCCGTCAGCAATGTCCGCGCCGCCGACGAGATGGCCGGTACTAGCCGCGCGAGTCCGACGGGTCAGAAGGAACGCGCGAGCGGCGCAGTGAGAGCGGACGTCGCCCGCGCGAGCGCTAGCTCTACGTCTAGCTCTAGCTCAAGCTCTAGCTCCAGTTCGGAGGACGCTGCTGCGTGGTGGCGCGCGCGTGAGCGTGCACCCACACCTTCAAGCCCGAGCGCCGCCGCCGACGCCGACAACAACAACAACAACAACAGCGAGGGAGACGAGGACATGCCCGCCGTGAAGAGGGAGCGCGCGGACGGCGACGACATGGCGCTGACCGCCTACCACCGGCAGTCCGGCTACGCGGCGCCTCTGAACGCCGCCGCGCTGCCCGTGGTCACCCCGCACCCGCCGCCGTACGAGCGCGTGCTGGCGCAGCAGCGCGCCTACCTGGGGCTGCACGACGTCGCCGCCGCTCACGCCGCAGCCGCCGCGGCCGCCGCCGCCGCCGCGCTCCACCGGCCGCACACGGACGACCTCATGCTCGAGAGGTTCTCGTCGGTGCCCGACTTCCAGCCGTTCTTCGACAGCGGCGAGCCGTGCATCGAGGTGGAGTGCGGCGAGAACAAGGCGCTGCTCTACATCAGCAAGCTGTGCCAGGGCAGCAAGGGACCCTCCATCAAGTACAGGGGCGAGTGGCTCACCCCCAACGAGTTCCAGTTCGTCAGCGGCAGGGAGACCGCCAAGGACTGGAAGAGGAGCATCAGGCACAAAGGTGAGGCGAACGTCAGCGTGGACGCGCGTAATCTGCCGTAGTTTTGAGCGTTGACTTGGTCACGCTGTTTTGGAGCGATCCACTCAACTCCGCGAGGGCTCGTTCTGTCTCGGTAAAGGCTTTACTCTGCCAGGTCAGTGTGTTTCTGTGTGCCTTCACTGCTCTTTAGGCTTTAACCTGATGTCTGTAGACTTTTAACTAGGACAGTTTCTTCGTATGGCATCAGAAACTCGTCTGTGTTATTCGCTCAGAAAGGGTTACTGGGCACCGGTGCAGCCGCATTGGAGAGTTTTTGCTCAAAGCTGCGTTAAGAGAAAAAGAGAAAAGCACATGCTGCTGCTTTTTTGCCCCATTCACTCTCCGGAGCGCAGAGGCTGAGCACTGTTTTGGGAGGGAGCTGAACTCGGCTGCGTAATTTGGCGACGCTGGTGGAGCTGAACTGGAGTGGGAATGAGGAGCACACTGCGTTGGGTGAGACTGGTTCTGGTTGGCGCTTGGAGAGAGATGTACGCGTGGAAACCAGAGCAAAGGGGCTTGGAAAGTTGGCGTTAAGCGGAGTATAGAGGGGAGTGAGTGTCTTAAGGCACAGCTGCGTGTTTAGAAGCGGCAGGTAGGACTGATTTCATTCGATCTGGACAGGTTGGTCATATCAGTAGTTCCTCGAATCAGTGGAGCAGTGGAGACTCTAAGGTGCTGTTTTGGATAGTAAGTGTGAGTTATGGATGATTTTGTGTGTTTTGTCTGGCTCAGATGTCCTTGGTATTAGACTTTTAATTAGTGTTGTATGGGTCTCTATGCGAAATTCATTGCTTCAGCTGATGGTGGTAACTGGAGTACTAAGCTTTTTAATGGAAATGGGAATTTCTTGAGTTTCTGTTTGGTGCTTTGGGCATAAACGAGCCAGTGAAGGAGACTAGCTTACTAGAAACCAGCTGTCTGTCTTACAGAAGTGCATCTTGCGTTTTTTATTTTCATTTTAATAATAGTTTTAGGACTGTAAGTGTAAACTGTAGTGAGGGTGGGGTGTGAACAGTTTTAAGACAGGCTGATTTTAAAGTAGCTTTGATAAAGCTGGGTTAAAGCTGGGTTAGAGATAAATTGCCCCCTTAATGGACAGCAGTCCAGACAGGGAAGCAGTAATCAGTAACATTCAGTCTGCTTTCCTCAAGATTATTTCTTTATTTATTTATTGCCCTTCATGTAGGCTATACACTTATGTTGGGCTAAGGGCACTTCTATACACACACACACACACACACACACACACATATATATATATATATATATATATATACACTGTTGGACCAAAATCTCCAAAATGGTAATTTTACAGGAGAAGGAAAAAAGTTACTTTACTTTTAATGTAAGTCAATGGAACATTTCTTTTGGTCTATTCATCATAAAATGTTCACACAATATAAATGACAGTAGGTATTTCCAAATTATGTTGAAAACTGAAAAACGACAAAAATGGAGATATGAGGTTTTGGTCCGACAGCAGCTATATATATACAAATAATGGCAAAGGCTGTGTACCCACCTCTGTATTTTAGGAAGTTCAAAAACGCTCTGCTTTTGTGTTTGTCACAGGCAAAAGTCTGAAGACACTTATGTCCAAAGGGATCTTACAGGTGCATCCTCCAATCTGCGACTGCCCTGGGTGTCGAATTTCATCTCCTGTGGTAAGGCTCTACGTCTTTCTGTTGTGCCTTATGACTTGTTCTCATATTATTGTTGTTTTTGTTGAAATAGTTTTGTACTGAATGGTTGTATTGAAACAGCCATTTCAAATTGAGCTTTTAGAATGACCAGAAAGTTGAAAGTTATACAAAAACAGAGGCAAGTGATAACCCACATGTAGGTCTAGCTACCTGTCATCAACGTTGTCAAGGTTACATCCCGAAAAAGTAAATTAGAACTGGGTGCAGGGAAAGGTGGAGCATCTGGAATTGTGGGTTTGGCTTTGCTAAAGTCAGAGTTGCTGTCTAAGTTCAGGATTCTTGCAGTAGAAATCGACTACCTTAAACTTTAGCCTGTTCCACAGTTTCTGCATGAACTCTGTGTTACACAATGGTGGCTTCATGAAAGTGAATTGTGTAGTGAGGCTGAAACGTGTTGCTAATAGGCCTCTAGCAGTCACAGAACCGTTTGTGCCTAAAATAAACTTCAATTTGAACACTTTTTAGTTACTTTGTATGCCTGAATTGTTGTATGATTACATTTGTTAGCAGGTTAGATCAGGGTAGTGCTAATACTCATTTTAATGCTAACTTGCTAACAAGCTAACCAGGAAAATAATGATGTATAATTGAACATTCAGAGGAACCCATTAGAAAACTTTATCATCGTAGAGTCAGTCACCCAAAAGAAGGGCTAGATGTGATGTAACCCTGTTTAGAAATGCACAGTGAGATGAAACTTGAAAAAGAAGAGTTTGAAAAGAAGTTTTCAGTCAGAAAAGTGTCAGCGAAGGACACTTGCTGCTAAGGAACGATCCTCACTCAAAACAACGTTTCTTCACCAATGTTTGTTCAGTTTCCTTCACATGAACGCGCTGTGGTGATTAGACAGGCGCAGATCATATCCTGAAGTTAATCAGTAATGTGAATGGCTAACTTATTGGCTTCAAGGCCACTTCCATATCTCTTTGTTCTCATCTGCTAATATCGCCTAGCTTCTTTAAAAGTTAGCTCAGCCTCTATGTAAGTGGGTGACAGCGCTTTGCATGTAAGGGTTGGTGTGTATGTGTGTGTGTGAAGGAGTGGGTGTGCCTGGACGTGTGGGTGTGGGTGTGTGGGCGACTGCCCGGTTCTAAGGCGGCTGAATCTGTCCACACAGGTGCTGTGTTTTTATCTGAAGTGAGCGCATCTGTCGTCGCCTCTAACGGTTAATCTGGAGGGAAGGGTGTAAGAGGCTTACTGAGCTACTGAGCGTGGCTACTGGTGATTACTGGGTGTGCGGCACGCAAGGCAAAGGCGGTTTAGATAAGCTGGAGGTGTTTGAGTGATACAGGTAAACTTGTGATGAGCGCCACAGCCAGAACTGGAGATAAACACCTATGGCTTAGGTGTGTGGAGCCTGGATATTATCTAAAGGCATTGGTAGCTCATAGATAGTGATTTCAGAAGCGACGCTGAGGAGGCTGTCTGATAATCGCTTTTGTCTGATCAGTCTCTCTCGCGAATGTAAACTTTGATCGAATGCTGCTATGCTAACTAGCCCAAATCAATGGGTGTAAATACTAAAAATCAAGCTAAACTATTTGGGCAGACCTGTTAGATATAGATTAGGCTTAGGAAATAAATTTCTACTTATATGTGAATGCTGTGAAGTGAAACTTTTATTTTAAAACTTAGCCAAGCCTCGGTTACTTTTTAGCTTAAACTCCAACCCTATTGCTGATATGACCAAAGATTCAGAATCTAAAGATAAATGTGCAAAGCAAACCAAATCATACATTCTGAGTCATATTGCTGCTCACGCAAGCATGGGTAACAGTCATAGTTTTAGGCTAAAAAGTAACCAAAGCTAGACCTGGTCTGATTCTCTTCGTTGTATGTTTCCATTGCTTACATGTGAAGTATATGTCATATGACTCAGGATGTTTGATTTAGTGTGTTTTCCATGGGTATCATTAAGTTATGTATCATCATATCATTGTGCCATCAGTGGGGTTAAGTGTTTTCTATAGTCTGTAGGCTGTGCATACTTATAAAGATGTTTTAGAATGTTATTACAAATCTGGAAAAGTTTAAGCCTGGCTTAGACCTGATGTTTGAACTTTGAATAGAGAACGAAGCTTATCATATCCAGATTAAGTACCATGTGTCCTTTTTCACATAGTATAAGGAGAAACTTGTTACATAACAGTTTTCTGCAATAACTTTGAATGTACAGTAATAACTTTAGATGAAAAAATGCTGTCCTTTTATAAATGAGGCATTTGAAAGGTCTTAAAAATAAAGGCTCCTAAAAGCACTTGGGAACCCTCTGGGCCATTTAGGACTTCAGAGAAGGCTTACTGATTTTTGGAAAAATTTGTCTGCAATTTTAATGTTATTTAATAGAGTATCCATAATATGTGTTCAAATGTTGCAGGTATTGTACTAATATGCCTGTTTCATTATTAGGATTTTGCTGTATATGAAAGGGTTAAAATCTTGAAACACACAATAAAAATTGTGCTGTCAGGATTTTTTCTCTGTGGTGTCTAGGTAGATACAGCCAGGTGAGCTAATTACATTGGTTAGGACTTCAGGAGCTGAACGAAAGGCCTAAAGCGTCAGATTAATGATGCCTTAACATGTTGGTGGTAGATGGACAATGACAAAGCGGATAATGCATTGTTTTCAGTGAAGTCTCAATGGAAAATTCAGCCTAGTGGCAACATTTCACAGCCTGCAGTGGTCAGCGGAACATTTTGTAAGAGTTTAATTTTCCCAACTTTTGCCGCCAACCACAGAGAGGAAATAAATCAGATGCTGACTTTTTTGGGAGCTATGGATGCCAAACGTCTCGTTGTTGAATTCCAGACCAAAAAATGAAGGAGTATAGAGCATCGGCTCTTTTTCCACGTTAAATAAACAATGCACACACGTGAATGCAGCACAACAACTAACATAATGACTAACTGACGGTGGAATTATGTGACAGACCCAGTTACGTAACTCACTGAATATGTGTGATAGTCTAACCAGAGTTCAGTTCAGAAGTTTAGATGTTATGAAAGGACTCTTTACTGTAAGACTCACTGCAAAACTGCAACATACAAGGTAAAATATGTGTTAATGTCTGGGAAAAGTTTCAGATAAAACATGATGAAAGGAAATTGAAATAAAGGTTCTTTAAGGAAAACCCTTTTCACCTTTATTGTTAAGACTGTAGTTCCATCTCTCTAAACTCTTATTAGTTATTTTGGTACTGAGTTGTTCATGAGCACAGTGTCTAGGTTATGTGATAACTTGCTTTGCTGGCGGTGGTGTTTGCTGTGTGGAGCTGTGGAAGGCCCCTTAGAGCGTTTGTTCTCCCCTCACCCCTCCTTTTTCCCGTAAGCGTGACGCCGGTTTGTGAGAGGGAGAGGTGTGGACGCGGAGGGCAGGCTGCCGAGCTCGCCTCGCCTGGCTCCACACACACATACACACACACACACATGCACGCACGCTCTCCTTCCCCCTTAAGGGCAAGACACACACACACACAGGCGTTCTCAGTGAGATAACAAGACACTGTCCTGTATACTCTTCTCTCTCTCTCTCTCTCTCTCTCTCTCTCTCTCTCTCTCTCGCTCTTTATTACTCTCTCATAAACACAGACACGTGTCAGATAAAAACATTCATACATGCATAAAGTACCACTTCAGTCATAGGCTTCACATTTTGAAACCTTAACGGCTTCGCTATAATTCTGTCAAACAACTGCACTGCTGATGCTTTAGTTTTTTATTTTTATTTTTGTTGATGTGTTATAAACAATGGTTAATACATTTTTACAACAATATTTTTTGATATCTTGTAAAACAACGTTTTATATAATGCATTGCACTATTAAAATGGACTAATTATGCTCTCTTTGTAATGAAGCAGTGTAAGTACTGACGATACCCACCGTATCCCCAGAAAAACAATACTGTGACATAATTAATCACAACATTGATAAATATCATCATATTGCTCTCCCCTAATTGTGTCTTGTTTCGATGTTTTTTTTTTTCAGTACACTACAAAAAATAGCATCTGAAGATCTGCCTAATGTTAATACAGTCCTGTGCAAAAGTTTGAACCCCCTGATCAGATTATGTGGTTTTTATTTATGGAAATTAGTTATCACATCCTGTACAGAGAAATGTGGTATTTTTCTGCTACATTTAGTACATTTCTGTTTATTTGCTGAGTTTGAGTTTAACATTCTGAAAGAAATAAAACATAAAATATTAAATGTGCTATAACTTTTACACACTTTTATGGTTATATTTTATTATTTTTAATTGGGCAAATAAACAGTAATTGTGCATCAAAACGTACAGATGTGTGTTCTCCTTAGAGAATCTGTAACTTCTTTTCGGTTAGAAAATCAACAAAACATGTAATCTGACCAGGGGTGCCCAAACTGTATGTTAATGTTTCTATTTTCAGGTCATAAGACTGCATTTAATGTTGTAAAGGCACAGTATTTCATAATAATGTGTTAATAATGTGTTAGCTGAGAGCTAATGTGTGCTTATGTGGGGTGTGCTTTTCCCCCCTGATCTTGATATTTAGGTAAAGACAGGTCTGCCCGCATTTTTGGCTACTTGTTTAATTTTTGTTGTACGTCATGCAATATAATTAGTATGAACTGAGCACTGCAGTCTGTTCACTGTAACACCTCACACTATAGCACCTAGCTAAATATTAGAGTGTTTCAGACAATGAATGCTTACAAAAAGATTTTTTGACAGTTGTTAAAGGCCATATTCTACATTTCTCTTAATTTCATTTTTTCAGTGAAGACATTGTGTTTGTAATGTTGGTGATGATGATCTTTTTGGGGTTTATGTATCAAAAACAGCCATAATTCATTGTTACAACTTATTTTATCTCTTATGACTAAACAGGCTGGTTTGGTTCACCCTTCTTCTGATAGGCTGGCCTGTGTTGTGCCTCTTACAGAAAGCTGTCTAGGCTGAAACACTCTTTAGAACTTCAACAAGGATGGGTGGGGCTACTCCTATTGGCTAAAATGGATTTTTCCATGAAATTGATCTTTTAAAATATCCAAATGCACCTTAACACCCACCCAAAGGCTGGATTCAAAGACAACTAAAACAACTGACCTCCTTTAGATTTCTTATGAGGCCCTTAAGGCCCACTCTGTATTTGTTTAGTAGGCCTAAATCCTATGTGTAAGTGAATTTGAAGCCAGGTTGTATTTATCTTCTCAATTATAGATTCATTTTACAGATTGAAGCCTTGACTTTGTGTTTTGTCTCAGCCTATACTGCAGTCAGCATACTGTTGTTTCCTTATTGCTTCACTAGAATGACTCTTGACCTTTTGCCTTTTCTGCTATTTCTTATGAAGTATAACTTAAAGAATCAAAAATGTCAATACTTCTTGGAGTAGTATAGTTCTTAACAGAGATTTGAAACATAACATATGTGCCCTTGTCTGTCTGTTTTGCTACAGTAATGCAGCAATTTCGTTCTCCTGCAGCTCGCAGCAGCATCAAGTTCAACGCGGCTTCAAATAAGGTGCCTTTCATTATAGAAACACTCAGTCTGATGGACAGAATGAAACGGCACACAGTAAATGGCAGGTTTAAAGGATAGAGGGTGGATGATATGGCAGAAATCTAATATCGTGATACAGCACTTTCACAATATTTTTTCAGACATTTGGTCAGTTGGAACTGAGAAAAAAACAACCAGTAGTGCTACATTTTAAAAATGACTATGAATACAAGGACTTTTAGTCAATGTTTAGCATACTGTATTGCACTGAACTCAGTTAACCCCTCAAAATCCCAGGCTTATTACATACTAAGGCTTATTATTCAGTAACTACAGGGACTTCAGTGCAAACTAGCTGCACTACTCTTAGTTTGTAGAAGTGTGTAATTAAACTTTGGGCCTGCTAGTGGGCCGTGACAATTTAAGGAATTATATGGGACTTATTTTGCTCTCTTTATAATGTAACATGCAGTTGGTCTACTACTAATGATACCCACAATATACCCAGAAAACCATATTGTGACATAATTTATCATTATAATGATAAATATCATGATATTGCATCCACACATCCTCTACAGGAGACAAACTAAAGTATGGTATTTTCAGTACTTTTAGTATACAATTTCAGTTTCTAGCACGTTGTTTCTA